GTGTGTGTGTGTGTGTGTGTGTGTGTGTGTGTGTGTGTGTGTGTGTGTGTGTGTGTGTGTGTGTGTGCGTGTGTGTGTGTGTGTGTGTGTGCGTGCCCCTCTTCATCTCTCTGTGTTTGTGTTTCTATTTGGGCGGAAGGAGCTGCCAACAGCTGCGTGGTCTTTCCTTGGTGACAGCTGAATTCACCAGCTGGGAATCAGCCATGGCACTGCGAGGTTTGGACAGGCATGATGGCTCAGAGTATATGAATGGTGCAATTGGCCTCCTGCAGTTATTGGGAGTGAAGGATAAAGGTACAGTGATCCCGAAAGTGGTTCTTGTCGGTGGCAAAGACAGCGGCAAGACATCTGTGGCTGAAGGACTTGTCGGCATCTGTTTGCCGAGAGAGACCCTAGTTCCTTTGATTATTAACCTCAGATCTAAGGTAGGAGATGATGGAATGATAGTAGGTGATGAGAAGCTTGATCCCGTGAAGGGAAGAGAAATCGAAGCATATTTCGGAATTGCTAAACCCCCCTGGGCCAGACAAACGGGGAAAGAACCGGCAGGCAATTTTTCTCGGCATGAAGCTCCTCAGACGAACAAGAAGGAAATGGGTGCTTCAAGCAGTTATTCAGGAAGACAGGACAGAGTCCAGATAGAGATACAGTATGAGGGATTGAGGAAGACAATAGAGGAGGACCGTGTGCACGATGAAGTGCAAACGGCAACTAAACAACTAGCAGGGGCAGGGCATGGCATAACGAACAGGCCTATACAACTGACACTGACGTGCAGAGGGGCTCCCGATCTAACTCTCATTGATCTTCCTCCTATGGAGAACCCTCAGCAAGGGGCTGTTTTCCGTAGAGTTTACCTGGAAGAAGATTGTTTCATACTGAATGTCATTTCTTCCTCAGCGACTGCCATCGCCACTTGTGAATCCACTCTTGTGGCCAAAGAAAGCGACCCTATGGGTCAACGAACCATGGTGGTTATCACTCACGTCGATCTGAATCCGGGAGCGATCAAAGACTTCCTTCCTCCGGAGTGTCTGAGTACCAACCCTCCCGTTTCAACTATGCTTCATTCTAGCCAGGGTGTGTATCCCTACCCAAGACACGGGTTCATGCTCGTACTTAATCGCACTGGCACTGACAGGGAGGAGCCCTATGAGAGACTAGTCGCAATGGAACAGAGGTTTCTGGGGAGGAACGAGCTCCTCGAAGTATATTGGGAGAGGGGGATGTTCGGGCTTGCCAGTCTTGCTAATAAGCTGAAGTTGATCCACGCAGAGCAATTGGCGAGACGTTTCCCAGACATTCGACAAAAGCTGAAGGATCTGTTAGAGGCGGCAGAGAAGGGTTTAGAAAGTGTTCCGCGAGCCGTTCTGACAGAGGTGGAGGCAGGATCGCAGTTCTTTTTAGTTGTGAGAGATTTTAAGAAGACACTAGAAAGACTGATGCTGGATGGCGATTTCAGAGGGGAACCTGAGGAGCTGCACTGCGTGGCAAGAATGTATGAAATAACAGTGCAGTTCGACGAGGATCTGAAGAGCGTGGCTTCGGATTTCAAAAGTCCAGCGTACAGGCAACACATATGGGACATCAGAGAGTCGACAGAGGGGCTGTCTCTCCCACCCTTCATGTCCAATCTGATCTTTAAAAGGCTAGTGAGAGAGGAGGTCCAAAAGTGCAGAAAGATCTGTGAGGAGCTCGTGCCTGAGATGTGCAGATATGCTGAGAAAGTGGCGCAATTTGCCATTGACAACGCGATGGGACCGTACCCTCTTCTGTGCCAGAGGGCCAAGACTGTGACTATGGAGGTCATGGGAGATGTTGAAATGACATGCCTTAAGTACGTGAAGGGGATGCTGGGGAAGGTTGCAAGGGTGACATACGTCAAAGATGAGCAGTTCGCTGCACTGACTGCCGAGGCTCAGAATGTCATCCCCTCTCCTGGATTGAACTGTGAGGAGCACGACGAAGTGCGAGACATGCAGAAGTATGTCTGGGCATACTGGCAGATTGCACACAGGAGGTTGGCTTACGAACTGCCAACCGAACTCACGTACTCACTTCAGAATGCGCTGCTCGAGGAAGTGGATGCGAGATTGATGCGCTTGCAACCAGTAGGGCCAGTTGCGCCGGTAAGTTATTCCGATGAGGTGATGAGCCTAATGACAGAGGTCCCTGAGATTACTCAGAAGAGGCAGAAACTCACCCAGAATATCAGAAGACTGCGAAAGGCAGTTGAGATGGTTCTCGCTCTGCCTATTATCGCAACATTCAGGGAAAATCCACCGGCCGTGATGGCACCGGAGGACATGACTCAGGACAAAGTTGGAAGTGAAGACCTGGGCATGAAAAGGATCCTCTTCGATGGATTACGGGACACTGATCAAGACCTTTCAGCTGATGACTCCCGACTCATGTACCTGAACATGGACAGTCCTTCGAGCCAATTCAGCCCAGGATATGACGAATATCCCACCAAAGCACCCCATGTTTGGAGCCTTGACACCCGACCCAGATGCCATGGACAATGATCCTGGTAAAAGCTCCGAATCTGGTCCCGAAAGCTCAGATATCTCCCCCAGCTCAGTAGGGCCTCTACCGAGCACTTTTGTGCCGGCAGCGGATCCCAATCCTGCAGATCCAGCAGGCAAGGCAAACAGGAAAAAGCAAGGGCGGCCAGGCAAGACAAAAGATGGAAACGACGACACGAAGGCAACTTGGTTTTTTAAGAAGCGGGCAGGTGGACTAAACGTGAGTAGTGTTGCTGTAGCATAATATTATAGCACGCGTTTTCTTCTGGAAAACCAGAGACAAGACAATGAAGAGACTGGTCTTTATTTATGTCACCGAGGGAGTCAGAGAGAGCATGCACCAGCTGGGACTTAGGCCCGGCCGGAGCTAGATGTGTGTTGAGCAAGGAGGAATCTAGTCGTATGCTGGTCCAGGAGAGGATCACACCAGTTAGTGTAAATCTACAGTAGTGGGCATCTCTCTATATTAAAAAAAAAAAGAAGAAGGAAATGAGAGAGAAGGAGAGAGGAGGAGGGAGGAAAAGGGAAGGGGAGATGAAAGGCAAAGGGATAAAGAATGAAGAGAAATTGAAGGAGAGGCTACAGCAGTGTATACATTAAGCAAGAGGAGAGAGGAATGGGAAGAAACGGAAAGAGGAGAGATGAGAGGAGACAGGATGGGGGACAAAAAGGGACTGTCATCGAACAGAAGAGAATTTCAAACACCACCCACAATTAGAAGGTACCTGCAGTACTGCTAGTTGCTCCGTGTGTCGCAGGAAGAATACATCGAGGTGTGTCATAGCTTACCGGATAAAGTCCATTTCACGCTGGGGGCATGTGGTCCTTTCTGATGCCCGCTGAAGATCCCATTAATGCCTCTTCTGGGCTTGTAGAAGCGAAGACATTGCAGTATTAATTGTTGCGGAATACAATGTAGAATATTCTTTTTTTTTTTTTTTTTTTTTTTTTTGAAGGAAAGTCTCCTGCTGTGTTAGTGGTGCTGATAAGAGCAGACGCCACTAGCACCTGGGGAGAGAATATTCTGATGGTTTATGTAATAGTTTTCTCTTTCGTAAGTTTCGTTTAAATTTTGGGCATCTGATTTTATGTCCATTCCACTCATTTGGTATGGAGGGGCGAAGCTTACGGATGCAGGTAAATACAACGCCAGGCCAGTTTTGGCATTCTGACCAGCTGCTGTGTGGTTGGCATCGTTGCCTCTCTTCACTGGTGTCAATAATCAATCATTCATGATGGTGGTGTGGAGTTTTAGGGTGACGACTGGCCCGTCTGCAAGGATTCTTTCTTTTTGTTAACGGGCAAATAAAGAGCTTGGAGCTTCCACTCGAGAAGTTAACTTGCGGCCTCAGAATTGATATTCAATAGTCTCTCTCTCTCTCTCTCTCTCCTGTCTCTTATACACATCTAGATGTGTATAAGAGACAGCTGTGTGTGTGTGTGTGTGTGTGTGTGTGTGTGTGTGTGTGTGTGTGTGTGTGTGTGTGTGTGTGTGTGATGTCATGGATGGGAAATGGACAGGATTGCCTGCCAAGTTGCCAACCTGCTTTTTTTTTAACATGCAGAAGAACCAGTTACAGTCAGTGAAGTATCTACAGTGAATGCATGTCTCCGAACGTTTTCCTGTTGTGTGGAGATGGCAGAACAGTTTTGCTAGTGCGAAATGGCGTTGAAGGTCAGCTGCCACAGTCCGAAAAGGCTCCGAAACAGAGAAAGCATTCGAGAGAAAACGTGAGTGAGTGTGGATGAACCCGTGTCGCCATGTTAATCACAGGTTCACAAGACAATCATGACTGCAACAGTTGTCTTAATCTGACTTTAACCCAAATCATGTGTGTGTTTTCGATTTTCACCACAACGGCCCCAATTCCACCCAGATGAGTAGGTCCAGATCGAAGCAGCTTTAGTCCTATTATAGACAACAAAAACATTTGAGATGAGACAATCCAATTAAGCAGTTTTACCTCTACAGCAAGCAACATGGAGCATAATAGAAGCGATTAAATCCCTTTCTTAACTGTGTTCAATTTGGCTTTCTTTGGCGTAGTACCCACTGGAGTTGTTCTTGCAGTTCCCCTTTTACTGTGCCTCTCATGTACAAGGCTTGCCGCGTTGATTGTGTTGAGTGCGAGCTCCCCACATCCCCGGGTGCCATAACAGCCCATTGGTACACTATGAAAGGATGCAGAGTAAAGGTGCTGGTATATTCCTGTTCATTTTTCCTCAGACCTTCAGCGTATATTTTGTCTGTGTTCTTAAACCACCAGTACTTGGCCCATACATCGGCCGCGGGGCATTGTCGTTAACGCCCCGCAACTTCCGAAGGCTCGGGGTACCGGCCCTCAAAGGCTGGCGCCGCCATCCAAAACAGTTTTTTCTTGTTGCGCTGGGGGGTTGGTGCGAAACGGCCCGCAGCCCGTTTTCAGGCTCCGCATGGATAGCTGGGCCAAGTGCTGGTGGTTTAATGATGCTCATTCATATGCATTTACAAGTAGTACCGAACAGGAGGGAGGAAGGAAATAGGAGGTGGAGTTCTCATAGGGTTTACCATTTTTGTATGTATCAGAATGTACACTGCTTGTTGAGATTCTACTTGCACTGCATTGTCCATTCAGTCCTTTTTTATCACATTGAGGATCCTCGGTTTGTTAGATACATTGCCCAACTGGGCATGCAACACTCTCTCTCTCTCTCTCTCTCTCTCTCTCTCTCTCTCTCTCTCTCTCT